CTAAAATCATGCAGCAAAGACATCAGGTAAGCTCCTTTCTGCTGTAGAAGCATGAACCATAGGAAACCGTATTAATAATTTAACCTATAAATAGTACAAAGCGGCTCCGGGGGGCAGGGTCACTTCATAGTTGGTCGTCGGAAGGGACCTAAGCAGATCATCTAGTCCGACCCCCTGCCATGGGCAGGAAAGGATGCTGGGGTCAAATTACTTCCTTCTATGTTACCCATTGACCGTTGGGTAACAGTATCTGACATAACCAGTTACATGATTTTTCCTGAGACAGGTCTCACTCAAAGTACATGCAACGAGAAATATAAAATTGACAACTGCACGGTTGGAATATATGCTTAGAGCAGCTTTTGGGTGCCTCAGTATCCTTCCCAAGGTCCCTGGGAGAGAAGCGGACACCTCCTCGTACTGTCCACAAAAATTCTTGCTTCATGTGTATTTCCTGGATTTAACTTTATTTTTACACTTACTAAGATTTGTTCTTGTTTTATAACAGCTGGAATCATCTTTGCCAATGGCACTTAAGCAGTCTTACAGTTTCTTCTAACTTTTCCCTGTGGTTGAAAGGCCAGGAAACTTTTAACATTGGCTAGGATCTCTCTTATTCCTTGCAACTTCTAAAAGACATTCTCTGCTCTGCTAAACCCTGGAAAGTCATGATCTGCTCAAGCTCAGTATTACATCATCCATCTCAGCCTAATCCTTCTCCTGAGCTTGTTTTGTTGCACCATAACAAATTAGCTAGTTTCAAGTGTGAAGTGGCTGTGGGTCTGGCTATTTTATACTGTGGGAGGAGTGCTTTGGGTTACTTATGCCAAGGATTTACTACATCAGCTGTGCAGGTAAGTAACATGACCAGTGATTGTTTTAACAGCTTTGATTCAAGTTGGGATACCTGATAGGTGGATGCTCAGCAGTGAGCCACAATACAGTTATCTCCTACGCTTCCTAGTCTACAAGCTAGCTATTACTTGTATGGAATAGCAAAAGCTCGTATGCTTATGAATGTGTGGCATGAAAATTTCATACAGCTTTTGTAAATGCTTGGCCAGGTGCAAGAAACATATTAGGGCAGTGGGAGCCAATTTTTATGCCAGACTTGCCCTCAATTAGATCCACACCCTCGAGTGCCACTCCTCTGCCCTCCACCTGATTGGCTGCTCATTTCTGTTCTCTGCACTGTGCCCCTATCCAGTCTGCTGCTCTGCGCCTTGTCTGCCACTTTTTGTTGCCCGTCTACTCCCTGGTCTGCTCCATACCACATACAAAGGCTGCCCATGCCCCTCGGGGCACATATGCTGTAGGTTGGCCACCCTGTTTTAGAGCATTTTGTCCAAGTAGTATTGCCAGAGGACATTTAAGCACTCAATAGAAGGAATGATACAGTTTGATGTAGCTACAAATATGGAGCTGAGTCGTCAGTCTGGAAGTAGGAGCTATAGATAGGGTTTGCAAATAAATCAGTAGCATTTGTTCTAGCAACCCAAAATGACATTTCCAGCTGTATGCTACTTTCAGAATAGCTCAATCCCAGTCCAGAAGCTTCTCAGTCTAAGGACCAGTTAGCAATCAGACAGCCAAGCAGAGAAATAGAAACAAGTGTCACACTATCAGAAGACTGAGCGCTGTAACAGAATGGGTTCTTCAGGAGAGATTTACCATGCAACAAAAAAGTGCATTTAGAAGCACTTGCTTTCTTCTCCAATTGATCATAGCATGTTCTTTTTCAAGGCACTGTTAATACTGAATTATGGTTGAAGTTTTGAATGCATCAGTTATAGGGTCACATCCAGAGATGTAAACAAGACTCCATATATTCTACAGTAGTGGGATTTACTATAAAGTCTGCCAAATCCACTTTAATTTAATGTGTTTATAGCCTCCTGGTTCCAAAAGTGTCTTGGAAGCTGAGAGCAAATTGTGCATAACCTAAAACAATCCTGTAAGAGGCATTAACTACATTATAATATATACATAAAAAAATTAGGTCTAAGACTGAACAGAAATAATGTGGGCTGTAATTAAGACAGCTATTGAATTGGGGCATAAATTACTACTGGTTAGGTTTATCTTAAAAGAGAAGCATAGTCCTGTATAAGGGCACTTGCCTGAATCAGGCTTGAAACCCAGTTCTGTTAACATTTTAAGGCTGCTCATGTCAAAGGGCACATCAACTTTCTGAACTGCCTTCCCTACTTCTCCATTTTGTAAGACCAACTCCATTTCTTCCTCATCCTCAATTTACAACACAATTAGTGTCCATACAAAAAAATTAACCACGCATTGAAAACTGAAAAAAGTGTAGAGGGAAAACAAACTGAATTTAATATAAAATAAATTCTTCTGTTTTGTATACATTCATATTCAACTCAAAAGCCTACTTGGATCTGACTTTACCAAGGGCTGCAGAATCCAAAACCTTGCTGCAAAATGTAAGTCAATTTGCCACAGATTACATGGGATTGTGTATCAGGTTAAAATAAAAATTGAAAACAAACAAAAAACACCGCTGAAATATCAGGACATGGTTTGATTTGCATCCTTCTCTTCCAGTCACTCAAGATACATCAACAAAAACAACTAATGAGAAAATATAAAGGCATGTTAAAGCACTAGACACGGATCATTATTTAAAGGCATGATTCAAATCCCATCAATGGGAAAAAATTTAACTGAATTAAAAGCACTTTGGATCAGGCCTCAATCACCATTGCAGAAGTCATGTTTGTAGGAACTGGAACTTAAAAGATTTCCCAATTTTTAGCCATTTAAAAATCTCAGTCATAACAGCAGATTGCTTGCACTGAGTTATTCTGAATATCTTTTGCATGAACTAGAGACAACATGTTGAGGGTTACTGAACCAAGTGGCTGAATAAAACAGCAATATCCTTATTTTCAGTATGACTGGAATATTTACAAAACAAGGTTGGGAATGGAAGGGAGAGAGAGACGCATGTGGTTCTTCATTAAGCCTAGGACTATCACAATACTCCATATCAGATTCATGAAGATTTTTTGATGAAGTTCACTATTGTTATTACAATTCAGTTTTCCAGTTAAGTAAGAAATTAGACAACCTGGAGATAACCCAGTTTTTTAAAGTTTTGTAACAGCTTCTCCCTAACATAATGCTCACACAACTTGTTGTCAATTTAAAAAAATATTTAATGCTGCCAAAAAGTATAAAAATACAATAAGAATGGCAGTACAAAACAAAGTATTTTCTAATTTATTTCTTTTACATCTTTCTACAATTAATACAGTCATTATAAAATATGTAAGACAGCAAATTATTTTCTTTCGCAAAGAAGCATGCTGGTGGTATTCTTCATCCCCTGGATGTAGTTTACGTTGTAAACAGATAGTTATGAGGCCTTGGTATTTATCAGACCTCACTTTTGTTCCCGAAGAGGGGCTCATGTCTTGCTTTGCATGTCAATAATTTGCAATTTATAGCTTCAGAATATTCACAAGTCTTGCAGGTTTAGGTGTCAGTCAGTCTCGGCCTACGACATACAATGCAAAACAAAGTCACAGATTCAGTACACATTAAGAATCAACACGCATTAAAGGGCTTGTAGCTCATTATAACTGTAGACCCCGAAAATGATTTGTTCCAATTTCTGATATTGTTCATCAAAATAATTACCTGATATAATATGTAGCAAAACTTGTTTGAAATGCCAAATCTTTTTAGAAAAAAGTACTACAGAGTTATTACATAAGGTAAGTGCATGCTGGAGAGTTGAAAATTAAGACAATCCAGTGAGCACAGAGAGAAAGTTAGTTGCCCAATCCAGGGAATCATGTAGGCATGTTCCCAGCTTTAGATAGGCAGTCCCACTGAAATCAGTGAGACTACATAACTATTTAGGCCTGTGCCCTCCAAAGAACACCGATTAGTCATTTATACCTAGAGCTGTTTTTGAAAGTGATGGCTCAATGGAGAGAGAGAGTGAAAATATACAGTTCTCTTGTACCGAGTGGAGATTTCCGAAATTCAATTTTTATTCTTTTATTTTTTAAACAAATGGTAGTCTATGCAGCCAGGAACAAATCGGAACTAAGATTTGCTATAACAGACTGATTTATAACTAGTTTTAAGCCAACATACAGCATAGTACAATATCTTTCCAAATGAAGCTTTTCAAATCAAATAAAGACTCAGACAGATGTAATATTTTGAATATATTTATTTTTAATACATGAAAGAGAAACTGAACTAAAGTTTTGAGAGTCAGGAAAACTAATTTCCAAGGCCAATGACAATGCGTAGCCCCGAATTCAGTGGTGAGGGTAAGTGCGGGATGCAGTAGTGGGATGAGAACGGCCCTCGGTACGGAGCAGGGGGAGCTCGAACGGCTGCCTGCTGGATGCCATGTAGGGCACAGAAAGTGTCCCCACCATTGTGGGCTAGATCAGGTCTCTTTGCAGGCCAGATTTGGTCCATAGGCTGCCAACCTCAAGTCTAGGCTCTTCAGTCCCCATCTCAATACCATCCTCTCTAAAGTTTGGCTTTTGTGTATACGCTTGCACAAAACTACGTTTTTAAAAGGTTTAACTGATAAGTTGGTTTCTTTCTCAACACTTTATTCCCCTAACACTCACCTGTGATTCTTCATTATTTGTTTGGGATGGAATCTGCTAGTTATAAAGAACTACTGCTCTATTGGGAAAAAATGCTGAAGAGCGGAGGGGCCCTCATCCCACTTTTTTTTTTTTTTTTTTTCCAGATTTTTCTCCTGCCTGAAAAATACATAATCAAATAGAAAACTGTAAGGACCAATTCCAACTCCTGTAATCTACAGCAAGTGGCCTGTAATGGATGTGCAGGTGTTTGTTAGCGATTTGTTTGTAAAAGGTGCATGTAAGTTGTGAGAAGCTATTAATTTGAATGTCAGAACATTATTATTTTTCAAGAAAATACTTGTATGTATGGCGGACGGGTGAGGAGTGGGAGGTCACAGTTAAGATTTGAATCAGAAGCTCAAGATAATTTCAGAACCTAGCATGCCAGTTGGCATTTCACAGTCTAATAAATGGAAACTGTTATGTTAAAAGTAAGTGCTCTTATGACTGTCAAGCACCATGGAAACAACAACAATATATCACGTGGCTTAGACTGTTGTAATTTTCTAAAACCTTAAGAAAAAGAAAGTCTAGTCTGACTGGAGTGAGCATTTGGCAATTCGTTTTAATGCAGCTAGGATGTCACCCAGAATTCTTTCATGGAATTCCTTAAATTTCTTCCTCAATCACATTAAAATGTAAATTAATGCTATTGGTGGTTTGTGCTCTATTAATTATTATGAATGTCTTCCTGGTCTGGCTGTTAATGATGCAGCCAAACCAACCAAGAAGCAAAAGCTTACCCAGGAATCAAACTAACTTGCTAATGTTCATTTATGGAGTCAAGAACAGTAACTAGAATGTGAGAAGTTACAACTATTCACAACAGCCTGCTCCAAATTGATGCAAAGGAGCCAGAATTTAAGATGGAGGCAGGGAGATAATTTAACTGCAGACCTGAAGAGCTGCAGTTGGAGGTAGGTGTCAGAGGGAAGCAGAGAAGGCCTAGAAAAATCTCCCTGAAAAACTGAGGAGTCAAGAAATAAATCATGACAGTTTCAGTAAAGGGGAATTTTTCTCTCAACTGATTTCCTTTAAACATTTTGAAACAATAAGACCTAGTTTTTTATTCTATTTTACAATAATATTTCGTTACCCTGCATGTTTTCCAACAAACAGAAAACAATCCTTGTCAGATACTTTATAGTTAATGGAAAGGACTTTTGTCAAATCTGGGGCAAGCTATGCTAGAAAGACTAATACACTTCACTTTTAATATAGACACAAGTTAAAAATTAGGAATTCATTACATCAGAGTCATCCTAATGAACACAAGTGCCATACTGGGTCAGACCAATGGTCTACTTAGCCTGGTATGCCATCTCCAATAATGGCAGAAATGGATGCCAGAGGGAGAGCACTGAGCTAGTCAGAGTGATCCATCTCCCATTACCCTCCTGGGCATCCACCATTACTAATTTAAAGATGCCAGAGAAAATATCTCCAACTGTTCTGATAAAAAGACCATTTTTTTTCTCTTTCATGGCTTGAGATTTAAGTTTTATATATTGAAATTTATGATTTTACCCTTAAAAGGCTGTCTATTGACTAGTATATACCATAACAGATATTTCATCTTGACCATACCACAGCTCCACAATTGACCAGTGTCACAGTACCAATTACTATTCTGCTTTAGTGGCAAAATGCACAGTGCTCAAAACCATGGATCTTTAAGACACTATACTTGACTTTTAATTAGGGGTCTACCCAACTCCAAGCAGCATCAGCCAACTTTATGGACAGATTGCAGGGTCTGCTGCCATTTTCACAGGTTTACTGCAGTGGGGTCCCACCATGCCTCTGATTGCTTTTTGGGGGGGGGGGGTGGTCCTGCCCTCCACTGCTGATTGGTGGAGAGGGCTGCCCATCAAATGGCCCCACCCATTGCCACTGACCAATGAAAAGAGGCAGAGCAGCAAGGGGTGTGAGCCATCTTGCCTGCTCACCTGTATGCTGGCAGCCCCCCTTCATGCCAGGCTGCATGGCAGGAAGGACTACTGGCTCCCACTAGTGAACCAGCATTTTTTTTTTAGTAAAATGTTGTTTTGTGTTTTTTCCCCTGTGGATTTCATGGAGATCAACTGGTTTCGTGATTTCTGTGAAATCCATGCAATTGCGATTTGAGTAGGTCCCTACTTATAATTCTTTTATAAAGAGCAGGGGAATTGCACAATGAGCTTCTATCAGCACCATCTGGAGTTCCCTGTGTACCCACTGCAATTCAATGAGAAAATATCTTTGTGTCTGTGCAACAGTAGGTCATACTCAAGTCTGGGTCCCTTGTTTCAGAGCTTGCAGACAATGGAAGCCTCAAGTTACTCACTTCTTTGGATGAGACTAACCTATATGCTTAACATATATTGCACTTTTCATCAGTAAAGCTCAAAAATACTTTACAAAGGAGGTAAGTGTCATTGTTATCATTTAAGAGATGTGGACATAAAAGCCCAGAGATACTGACTTGCCCATAGTCACTCAGCAGTGGCAGACCTAGGACTGGAAACCAATGCCCTCAGCTGCAACACAGTGCTCTAGCCACTAGACTAGACTGCTTCCATCCTCAGATGAAAACAGGTAATTGCATATGGAGCTGGGAAAATAACTACTGGATACAAATTTCCACACAAAACAGTGCAAAGTTTATACTTCATGGTTATAAAGTGATCTAGGTGCCAGTACTCCCTTCATTTGCTATTCTTGACAAAGCAGTTAACCGTCAGGCTGATTATGATGTTAGGCAACTTAAAGAGTACCTTATAAAGGTCTGGCAAACTCAATTAAGATTGGGCTCAATTACTAGGATCTAAATTCAGCAACAACTAATAGCATCTATACTTGGTACCCAGTATTTTCATTTAAGAATGAATCGGTTTTAAGTTGCCATATGTTTCCATTAGATCTTAATTACTACGAGGAATGCAACTCACACACGCAAAATATCATGTTTCACATTTAATGGAATGTCAACTTTAACAAAGCTAGGGCTTCAAACAGTAGCTGAAGTCTGAATACAACTTCCATTCACCAGTTTAACAGTTTGCCTTTAGGTAAGGGGGAGTTAAGTTTCCCACAATCTTTAAACCAAAAAACCCCTCAGAAGTAAACTATTTAAATAAATTGCAAAAAATAGAAAAAATAAATAAGGAATGCAACTTACAGAACAAGTAAGTGGTTCATCAGACCCCTAGCTGCTCATATCAAAAGTCTTGAAATACGGGGAATGGATGCACTGTTAACTACTGTAATGCACACATTATGCTTTACATTCGTTTCAAAATCAGATTCTTTCTTGGTCAAAGAGTTTGTACAAACTGAGCTTTAAAAGTACAGTTAACTACAAAAGTAAGATTAAATACGCAGTTATAAAATATCTTTATCCTAGGTCATAAGAATATAAAATGTTTATGCCCATGTTCATAGTACATTACACATTACACACATGTAAGGATAGCCTCTTTGCATTAATAATGTAAATGATACAACACTGTTTATTGCTTATGTCAGGTGTAAATTAAGACAGCCTCAGTAGTTAAAACTTTGTGGCTCAGGGTCTGTCTTGTAGATTTGGTGGAAAACTATTTTAAAAAGTGTATAAATACATTTGCAGGAAACTTGTACCTGTTTAACAAAAATGAACCACTTTATTCAGATAGCAATTTGCTGTTTGGTTTCAGAAGTACCTGCAGTGAGAAGTCCTGAGATGTTGACTTGTGATCAGTTTACATCACTTATCTAGTTAACATTTAAACTTCTGCACCAATTTAGGTGTAAGAAGTTTGCTGATGAATGGCAAACCCCTAACAACTAACTTGCAGCATAATTAACTGCTAATGCAGACAAGCTCACTTGTTTACTTACAAGGAATGCTCTTGAAAATACATTTTCCAGCAAGAAACAGCTCCAAATAAAATCAATGTACCAAACATAACCTTAATGAGAATAGGTTTCCAATATAACCACCTTTTCCTTTTTCGTTCAGTTTCACTTAACTTCTGTTTCATCTGCTGCAGCTTCTGTGCCGTGTTAGCCTTTCTATCCTCTCGAAGGCGTTTCCGAACAGTACTGGGGAAAAGAAAAGGGAAAACGTCCTAAGCAATAGAATAGGAGGAACCCTTGAAGACATGTTAAAGGTAGTGCTTCTTCCCCCAGCACATACAGAAGGCTTAATCTGTCTGGAACTATTTATGAACAAAACAAAACTAAGAGGAGAACCTGGAGGGGAATGTGAAAATAACCTGGGTACTTCCAGTAAGGTTGCTAAATGGAGCCTTAGAAAATGCCAGATTCTAAAACAACTCACAAACCTTAATTTTGTCCCCTCTTGCATAGGCATGATGCAATCAATCACCTGAACTCTGGCTTCAATGACTGTGTACATATTTTCTGTACAAAAACAGATACTAGACAAATAACATGCCTCTTTACTTGTGTCTTCCTTGCAAAGTTAACTCAGCTTCCTATCAAGTCACTGACCCTAAAGGCTTCCCCCCCTGTGATCAGTGACTAGGTGCTTGTCTTGGACTATAAAAGTTAAGTCCCAATCTAAGTTTCGATTTGGGATGACAGCTTGCCTTGTCACGGAGCAAGGATACAGGCAAAAAAATCAGACAAAGACAATACATCCTCTCTTGCCTTCCCACAATTCCCTGTGCACACAAAAGTTCTCCCACAAAAAAAATGCAGACAAGTCCTGTTTCTACAAGTCCTGGCTAACACACACCTTCATGCCTTCTCCCATGCCATCCATTAAACCCCTCATTTGCCATGAGGCTCATAAAACATTTGACAATGATTAGGCTACCAGTGACCAAAAGCCCCTATCAAGTTAAAATACCATTTTTTCACCGTTTCCCTTGTCTCTTCCTTATCTAGCCACTCCCCATCTTCTCTTAGCGTAAGGCCTGGGGTAGGAGACCACCTGCTTAGTCTTGATGCAGGTCTTAGCACTATAAGACCCTGACCCACAGGCAGGTAGGTGCCAACTCCTACAATAATACAATTAACTGCGACACATACTGCAACTTCAGCAAGGACAAAGCAACTCAGAAGGGATTTGTAATGTGCCTGTCTATATTCAGACTGAACCGCCCCCCCATACCTCTAAAGTAACTGAACTGTAGAAGCTATAGGTAGGAAATAGCTAAAATTACACTGAAAAAATAAAATCCTTTCCCTTACTATGTCTGAGACTGTTCAACCAAATACTCTCTCCTTCTCCAACACAAGAGACAACTTATTCAAAATTAAAAGTTTTGTTATGACCAGCAATATAAAAATCCAATGCAACTTAAGTGTTCTCTCCTACTACATTCATTTCCGATCACACTTGCCTTTCTGTGTTTCCATCCACAGCATCTTGCACTTTGGTGGACAGGTCTGTATTTATTTTTTCCCCCATTTGCTCCTGTTTTTCTAAGCCCACACTATTTCCATTGTACTTTTCTGTAATTATTTTGGTTGGGTGCGGAGGAGAGTGCTCAGAACTTGGTGCTTGGTCCTCTTTAGAAAGTTCTTTCCATCGTTTCTGAATAAAGAAGAAAGTTGTTGAGTAACAGCTTCTATATCTTTGAATAACAGGGTTTGTCACAGTACTGTCAGAAATAAAACTACATTAACAGAACTAAATATAATAATTTCTATAACAGAGGTTAAGACCAAACTAAGATATTCTCAACGTAAGTAAGGGTATTTTATTTTAAAAGCAAGGCAACCAACTGACTTCTAATGAGGCGTTAATTTGCTCCCAATTATGGAGTGGCCAATTTAAATGTTTAAAGTTGTTGATATATTGTAAACCTCACTTCCACCTCCAAGGCTGTGAACTACATCCCCCTGCCACCAAGTACTATTGCTATGTCCAGTTAAGGCACTAATTTAAGAGAGATGTTCCATCTAGCACAGATGGAAAATCGTAGTAATTTGTTTCACTGTGGTAGATACATATGTGCTTGTTCTATTGTATTGGTTATTATTTAAATCTGTGTGAAATAAGAATCACTATATTTAATTCACAGGACAGAAAGAACATTTATGTTCATTATAACAGTATGACACAGGGTACATTCTAGAGAAGTCTCTCAGAATGATACCTTAAAAAAAGCAATTCATGGACTGAGAATAGATTTTACCAAAACTCTCCCTACACATAAAATTAATGTGACAAATGTCCTATTGCCATCTCCTCAAGAAATTAAATGTCTCCTCTTTTTATATTAAAAATGCTAAGTTAAATGTTTTCTTGGTTACACTCACATGCTTAGATCAAAACTAGGACAACAAAAAGATATCCAACTGGTTAAGAAGAATTAAAACTTCAAGAACAAGTAACCATTAGTGCTCTCACCTTTAAGGAACACCAAAACCAAAACTAATGACAGTCTGAAGAAAACAACAAGGCCAATAAAAAACTCAAAATCAAGCATTCAGTGCACAGATCTATTTGCTCTGAATTAACTAAAATCTGCTGGTAAAAAGTAGGACTGCAAACCGAAAGGTAAAACTCTCTTTAGGTGTCCAATGCACACCTAAAATCTCTAGGAATGAATCACAGAAAATTAGGGTTGGAAGGGACGTCAGGAGGTCATCTAGTCCAACCCTCCTGCGCAAAGAAGGACCATCCCCAACTAGATCATACAAGTGAGGGCTTTGTTGAGCTGGGCCTTAAAAGCCTCCAAGGATGAAAATTCCGCCACCTGTCTAGCTAACCCCTTCCAGTGCTTCACCACCCTCCTAGCGAGTTTTTTCTAATATCCAACCTAAACCTCCCTTGCTACAACTTGAGACCATTGCTCCTTGTTCTGTCGTCTGCCACCACCGAGAACAGTCTAGCTCAGGGGTGGACAAAATACACCCCATGGGCCAGATCCAAGCTGCCAACTGATTTTATCCAGCTTGCAGGTCAGCAGCTGCAAAGTTGTAAGATGCAGCCCATAGAGAGCCAGTGGTTCCATTTGCTGTAACATGCTGGGTAGACGGGCATGTCCCAGCCCTGTTCAGTTTACAACATCTCCCGCTCCGCACATGAGTAGCGCCAGGTGCACACTGGCATCAGCTGTGGACACTGCCTGCAGGTTTCTGCCAGGGATCAGGGCAACTGCCTGGGACCACAGCTGATGCAGCAGCATCACCTGCAGACCTTGGAGGATGCCCCGATCCCCAGTGGGAACCAGCCACCTGCATTTGCAGCTGATGTCAGTGCCAACCCAACACTCCTTCCGGCACACAAGCCAGGAGCTGGTGTAAGTTGCGGGGCCATGCTGTAGGTGCGGGATGGCAGGAGGGAGAGGGGGGACAGGGAGAAGCGGCCCTGCTCACAATGAGTAGCAGTGGCTAGTGCTGGGCAAAAGCAGTACCTAGCAGTGGGTGCACCCTGCACCGGCTGCTGCTACTCATCATGGGCAGGGTTGCTTCTCTGTCTCCCCCTTTCTCCCCCCCACTACAGCATGGCCCCACAGCTTACAGCAACTCCTGGCCCATGCACTGGAAGCAGCACCAGATGGGTATTGGCATCAGCTGTGGATGCAAGTAGCCACTTCTCCCTGTGGATCAGGGTATCTGCCTGAGCCCCTCCTTGAAGTAGAAGGGTGGGCTGAAGCTGTTGTGCATTCACACCAGCTCTGCCCTCTGCTTACCTCACCCCACATAGGGAGGTTTGGTGAGCTGTTGGGGGGAGGGCAGGGGAGCACCAACCCAGTCTGCGACAGCCCCCCAAAACTCCTTATGTGGACCATGGGTCAAAATAACTGCCCACCCCTGGTCTGGCTCCATCTTCTTTGGAACCATCCCTCAAATAGTTAAAAGGCTGCTATCAAATCCTCCCTCAGTCTTCTCTTCTTCAGACTAAATGAGCCCAATTCCCTCTGCCTTCGCTCTAAAGTTATGTGCCCCAGCCCCCTATTTTTGTTGCTCTGCTGGACTCTCTCCAGCTTCTCCACATCCTTTTAGTGAGGGGCCCAAAACTGAACACAGTACTCCAGATGTGGCTTCACTAGTGCCCAAGTGCCAAGTAGAAGGGAATAATTACTTCCCTTAATTTGCTGGCAATGCTCCTACTAATGCAGCCCAGTATGCTGTTAGCCTTCTTGGCAACAAGGGCACACTGCCAACTCATCCAGTTTATTGTCCACTGTAAGCCCCAGGTCCTTTTCTGCATTAAACAGATGTTTAAATAGAATCTGATTACATAGATGACCATTTAGACTAATTTCTCTCTAACATTCAAAAGCAAGAATCAATAATGCAACAGTTAAACCTAAATAGTCAATGTACAGGAATAAACATTCAAATTACCCTGGTAAATCAGCTGCAGGCTCTTAAAGAATGAATCTTCCTATATAGGGCAGTTTAATCCCTTGGGATTTAGCAACAAGAACATCTTGACCTCTCCCAAGTTGCTGACAGTCATAAAGGTGGTGAATGGGAAACTATACAGTTCCCTTCTGGTGAACTTGATAACACTGATCTCCTTTTAAAAAGCAGAGGGTATAGATAAGAGAATCAGCTCTTAGCTAGCTCCAGTATATCCATTTGATCTTGCACTATCACATTCTTCTGGGCCATAATCACCATCAAGACCATGGGACTTTCAATGGTAGAATACAGTGAGCAAAATCCTGGCCTCTCTCCAGATACTGCCAGAACTCTTACAGACTTCAACAGGGTCAGGCTTTCAGTTCTTGAGTCAAAAATTCTCATTTTTTAAATTATACTATTCTCCTCCTCCCCTCAAAGATCGGACACTTCTGGTACTTCCTGAACCTACAACAAAATTAAGTCTCACTCCAAAAAGATGAATTTGAAGATAAATAAGCATGACAAAGAAAAAGCAGTCAATTACTTTAAAGCAGGGGCATAACCCACAGCTGCCCATAAGTCTTGGTGTTGACCCATGTGCTGAATACAGTACATAGATCTAGCACATGTGGGGCAAGCCAGTAACATGCCAGCCTTACACCATTCATCTGGCCCATGGGACCCGATGAGAGTTTGATACCCCTGCTTTACACTGAATTCCAAGTAGAATCAATTTAGCAGAAAGAATGAAGAAAAAGTGAGCCACAGGAAGCGTAACTGAATAGGGATTTAGCATTAGAAATGAGGAGGTATTGGTGACAGGCTGGTCCAAGATGCTGTGACTGGGGGAAAGATTGGAGAAAACACTTGCTTGCTTTCAGAATCATTTCACCTTCACTAAAATTCTCAGATTATGAAGATACTTATTCATTACGATTCCCCCCATGCCTATTTTCTGTCTGAATTATTCAAAAAGGTTCCTTGTAAACTCTTACTGTGAGTTGACTATAACTGTAGTCTTCAAACATACCTATAGGAAGACAGAGAACGTTTTCTGACCTTACAGCGCCAGATTCATTGAGATAATCTGTATGTATAGATCCCTTGTTCGTGGTCCATATGCCCGCCCCCTTGCACAGAAGACTGGAATCTTTTGAGCAGCAATCTCTGTAGCTGCTGCCCATATAGCCTACATACTCTCATGTTACCCTCTTTCCCAAATGCAGAAAGAGAAAAAAGTCCTGAAATGTCAATCAGTTCCTTTGTTGCTAAGATCTTGATCAAATGTCTCTTGAGCTACAGCAAAAGAAGCTAAGTCATAGGATCCATGCATCAGTGCATCCTTCAAGGTGAAAAATCAGTTACTTAAAAGAGGTTTGAAGCCAGTCTCATTTTTGGTGACTAGCCAAGCAATAAGTCTTCAAGAAGGGTGCGCTAGAAAACATATTTAAACAATGCCTTCAGGACTGCTGGACCAAATTGCACATTGGAGCTGGAGCCCAACATTGAGGGACAGTGGCTGGTAAATGTATGAATATAGTACAGCAGGTAGCTACTTTGCAAATACCAGCTGTAAGAATTCTACTAATGCATGCTGCTGTGGCTGGCTAAGCTCTGATATAACAGTAAATCTCATTCTAAAAAAAGTTGACTGTCTCATAGGCAGCAGTTCCAATATATTCGGAGATTTTCCTCGAAATGCCTTTCTGTGGAAATAGCTTGAACTCTGGATCTGCTTATGAAGGTAATCAAGCTTGAAGACATGCAAAGTCGTCTTGTCCTATGATGGTCACAAGACACTTCTCATATGTCCAGACTTCCCGCCCCCCCAAGCAGACAGACAGTGAAAGATTTATATCACAAACATGGTGAAAGCTATATTTTTAGATATCAATTCTGAGGGATGCATCAGTCATTCTGAGACAAAAAGTTACGTAAAAAGCATCAGCAATCGAATCCTGAATCTCATCTCACAGGATACTAAGAATGCCATTTTAAATGAACAAACATAACATGAAATGGATTAAAATAGATTCATGGATCAAATGGCTAAATACGGCAAGTATAAAGTTCAACTTTTAAGGATATTTTTTCACATGGAAAAACAGTAACAAACCCTTCAAGAACCTGAATAGCTGGGTGTGAAAATTACACCCAATACTAGACAAGCAGACAAGATGCAGATTTTGATGCTAAATGTACAGATGGAGTTTTGGGTTTTTTTTAAAATAC